GCATGCCAGGAACACAGGTGGGAAACAAAGGGAATGGAAGAGGGGCTATCAGGTCAGAGCCAAGTTAGAGAGACACAGGCCTACCAGAAAGGTGGCTGGCTGCACGGGAGGTGAAGCAAAGGGCACCTGAGCTAAATGCCTCACAAATGTTCTCCTTCCATAGACAGCAAAAATCATTAGACAAGCGCAGATGTTTAAGATGAGGGCTTAGGAGACATGAGCACACTCCCCATAGCAAGCACCTCATTCCCTTCCATGTTTCAGGTTTTACCTGCAAAATGGGAACGAGAGGCAAAGACAGTAGCTGCTCAGGAAGTTACAAAGACAATGTTTTCACAAAGTAAGGTATTTCTAGGAAAAGTTGTTTCTTTTTGTCAGTATGTAAATGACTATCAAATCACATCTTTAAGCTCAACAGGGCAAAGGCAAGCGAGCACAATTCAGGGTGTACATGAGCCAAGTAGCATTTGGTACACACACATACACATACACACACACACACACACACACACACACACCCCTCATCTCTCTCCATTTACATCTTATAAATAAACATTGTAGAATTGTCTGGCATGGTCTGTTAAAGCATGGTCTACTGCTATTCCAGGATTATTAGGGAAATGATTCTATGATTATTTCAGAATGTTATATTTTCCCTAAGAAAACTAAGAATAGAAGGTTATTTTGTTTTGGTTGGTTGGTTTTTGATGTATCTTACACATAATGGAGGATTTTAAGGCCGTTTTAAAAATGAAAACTCGATTTGATCATAAATTTCCTTCAGAGCAAATATTATTTATTTTACTCTATAAAAAGAAAACTGTTCAAATTAAGAAAAAGGTGAGGAAAACTTGTTTCTTAGCCTCTTCTTTCATCTCCTTTACAACAAAAATTTAAGTTCTGCTGGGGATTTTTCCTTCAAACGGTCATTACTTTATAAATGAAAGACTTTGCACCACAAATGATTAAAGTGTTAGAAGGATTCACATTCCTCAAAAAACCTTCAAAGATTTTTATTGCTCATGTTGATAAACAAAATTAAGTCTCTTCTAGTGAATCATGAAAAGAAATACTGAATATTGATCAAACAGCTGCTTTTTATACTATATCCTATCACCAAAAATCCTAATTTGTTCATATACTTACACCTTGTTCTACGAAACAGAAAATAATATGGCTCAAATACTGGAAACTGTTAGAACCAAGGAGCTGTGACCACATAAACAAACACCTATCACTAGGAACCCAATGCACAAATTAATTTCTTATGAATGGACACATATTAAGAATAATACTCTAAAAGCTCATTCTGTGAGGCATATATAAAAAGACTATCACAAGATAAACTCTTTGTCAGAATAAAGTGCTTCCAAATGCTGGAAACTTCTGCATTTGCCAACTCATCACATTATTTGTGAACTCTACTCCTCTCTTCTTCCCACAACGATGACCACTAGAAAATAGGCTCAACAGAAGGAAGGGCGAGCTAATTTCCTATTACAAATGCTTTTCATTTTCAATACAGCTTTACCCACAGAAGACCGAAAGCCACCTTTCAACATTTCATGAGGTTATCTACTCTGGAACTTAAAGGCAAACAATAAATAGCCAAAAAATGAAGAGTACAGGATAAACCCCTCCATTTCCCTGACTAAATCTGCCTTCTTTCAACATAAAAATGCTAAGTAATTTTACAGACGATGCACAGGAGCCCCCAAATGATCTGTGTGATGTCTCTGTGCAGGCCTTTGCAAGAATAAACAACTGTGAGGCAGACACACTGGGTTGAATTACCATAACTCTTAACTAATAATGGGTCCCAGACGTCTGGAGACTTCACTGTATACCCTGTACAAAAGCAGCCATGCCTGTGAGGTGGTGGGTCCGTGTGTGAATATTTCATAAATCCTGGTTCATGAACCAAAAAAAAGCATCACCCATAATTACTTTCTAAAGGGTCACAGGTAGAGAGGTATTTCTTTCTAAATATGTAAGCCTAAACAATCTCTTACTCCTGAATCATTTTAGGAGAACGTGAATAAAAACTGATGTTTCCTACTGCTATTTTTGTTACCTTGGTATTGTGTAATCACAGAACTAAAGTATACAGAACAACTTATCAAGATCAAACTAAGAGCTCTGAGAAATGATTTTAAATGAAGGTTTAGCCCTGTTCTAACAAATATTTTTATAGAAGAATTGTCTGTTCCAGTCAAAATATACAGTCAAAAGTAAACTTCTATGAAGAGATAAAAGTTCTTAGATATGAACTTCACAAACCTCAGAACTGCCATTATAGAATACATGTCTTAGAAATGCTACAGTCAGGAACCTCCAATGAAACAGCCCTCCTGTGTGGCTGCTCCTACAGGTTTATATGACTGACTAGAGACTATCAGCCAGGTGTCACTGTGGGGTGAGCATCTTATGTGCCCTAACCTCTCCCACCCCCCTCCTGAGTGCACTCCTTGAGGAAGAAACATGAAAGAGAGGGAAGGGGCAGAAGCAAAGAGAAACAGAATTCAAGCACAAGGTTAGAGTAAATTTGTCTCTGACTTTGTCACCATGAAACGCACCTGCTGTGATGTTCAGTTGAGCTACTGGAGGTCCTCTGGCTGCTTCTGAAAACTGATGCTGGCATAGGCGCTTACATCCTCCCTGGAGCGGCTGGTAGAGCTGCTCTCACTGCTGCCCGGAGGATGACGAAGGGTTGGGGGCTGGGGATGCTGCACTTGAGGGGGGTGCTCCTGGAGGTGCTGTTTGAAGTCCTTGACCAAATCCAGGTCTATGTAGTTCAGACCATTCTCCAAACCCCCTGCAGCCCCACACACTTGAGCCTGCTCTTTGGGTGCTCCCCCGAGCTCCCCAGGCCTCAGCCACACGTTCTCAAATGAAGCAGAGCTGTGACGTTTCACATCCTCAATGCTGCTGCTGCCACCACTGCTGCCCCCTACTGCAGCCCCCCCTGAGGGCACCGTGTTGCCGGCCCGGGGGGTACTAGACATGGAGGAGAAGGTCTCGGAGCTATGCCGCCTCCGGCACCCTTGCGGGTCTGCCCGGATCACTTTGGCACTCTGGTTGCCACTGGGACTGAGGTTCACCCGGGTGAAGGCACTCGTGCCCCCGGACCCCTGCGGGGCCGCCAGCTCCCCTGCTCCTTGAGGCGCAGTGGGGGAAGCAGAGGCTGTTGAGGATGAGGAGGGAGCAGCCGCTATAGCCCCGGGAAGGCTCGCCTCCTCCACAATGCCTGTCCGAATATCAGCATAGCTGACAGGGGCAACTGGAGAGGTGTCCACGTAGCTCTGATGGGGACAACCCATCTGCATGGTCATGTAGTCACCCCGAGTGCTAGTGCTAGGCACTGCCCGGGTAGGCCTGCATGTGCTGGCAGTCCCTGGAGGTGCAGGACCCACTCTGCTCGGCTGGACCACAGGGCTCTCCTGCCAGGTAGCCCTCCGGCCAGGCCCCAGATCCATGTTCATGTACTCTTCAGTGCCAGACTCTTCCTCTCTGGGAGCTGGCTGGAGCTGGGACGGACACCTGACAGAAGGCGAGCTGTGGGATGCCACGGGACCAGATAAGTAGCCAGGCTGATCACTCCCAAATTCGATATTCACATATTCCCCTGGGCTCTTGGGCTCTGGAGGAAGCAGTAGGGCCGGCTGCTGCTGCTCTCGAGCCCGAGGTAAGGTGCTGGCCTTGGGGTCCCCCAGGGAAAGCCTCGTGGGCCGAGCCAGGCGGCTGTTGGTCTGCGCAGCTGAGTCCACCTTTCGAGGCAGATGGGACTGCAGGACCTGATGGTGGAGATGATGCGGGAGGCTGGCCTCGGGCCTCACCCCACAGTATCCCCCACCCAGGCTGTCGTTGCTGGTGGAGGAGGAGGAATCTTCGGCTGCTGCAGCATAGAGAAGGCGACCAGAGCTGGAGGAAAGGCGGAGGTGCTGGTGCCGGGCGGTCTCCTCCAGGTCCCCCGGGCGCTGGGTGTGCTTAAAGGACCTTGGCAATGAGCAGTAGGAGAGAACGGACTTGTGCTGGGGATCCTCAGGGCCGCAGTAGCAGTCAGAGGGGCTGCTGGTGTTGGAGTCCCCCACCGGTGACATGTTCATGTAGTCACCTGTACAAGGCAAGAGCTTCCCACCACTGCTCTCCGAGGGTAGTTTGGAGGGTGGCAGGGGGTGGGAGTGGTGGCCCCCAACCCCATTTGTCCACAGCTTCCCATAGCTACTCCTAGAAGGGGCAGCACTGTTGCTGCTGCTGGGTCCACCCCCAGTATCGGGGGAGCTACTGCCACTTGGGGACATCATCATGTAGCCATTGGGATCCACTCTCTGGGGATGGCGTCTGAGGGGGTTGATGATCTGCTGCGGGGAAGACACACTCTTGGGGCTCATAGGCATGTAGTCCCCACTGCCTTTCCGGCTGCCAGGCACTGGGGCCACTCCTGGGGTCATGGGCATGTAGCCATCATCCGTGTGGAGGGTGGAGGAGTCTGGGCGGCTGTGGCCTCCGCGGCGCTCCAGGGGGGGCATTTCCAGACCCTCCTCAGGGTAGGACTGGGTGGGCAGGAAGGCGGAGTGGCGGTAGCCGGGCAGTCGGCCTCCACTGCCACCTCCTGGTGGGCAGGCAGGCATCATCTCTGTATATTCCTCAATGGAAGCCACGGAGGACTGCGATGGGGTCTTCTGGTGGGAAATGGTGGGGGAGGTGCCAGCTGAGTGAGTCCGCTTTCGAAACCGATTATCCAGATCTGTAGCGCCGGCTGCTTCATCCCCAGCCAGGGCCGAGTTCGTGCCCAAGCCCGTGGCTGGGAGGTAGCGGTGACCATTGCCACCCCGAGGCAAAATGTAGTGACCATTGGGGGCGGCGAGAGTGGAGGCCCCCTTGCCTCCCATGCAGATGTAGTTGCTCAGCTCCTCCTCCCCGCGGGCCGGTGGGGTGTGGCCCAGGGAATCTGGGGTGACACTGCGGAAGGAACTTCGGAAATCGCAGGGACTGGAGCCATACTCATCCGAAGAGATGAAACCGCCATCACTAGGGGAACCAGACACAGAAGCACTAGATCTCCGCGGGAAAAGACAGTCAGAGGTGGAGCCATGGCCACTGGTGCTGCTGGACGACAGACTGACAGGGCTAGTGGCCGAAGGCGAGCAGCGAGAAGAAGGCATGGGGATGGATCGGCTGTGGTTGAGTGGGGGGTGCAGCCGCGAGCAGCCCCGATGACGGTGGGCGTGGGTCCTGTTGGTGCTAGGACTCACGGGGCTGCCGTCCACTGAGGCCGGGCGGGACATGGTGCCTTCCCCGTCGCTGGAGGCGCGGACACGGAAGGAGCCCTGCTTCCCGCCCACCAGGCTGGCCGGAGAGGTGGCCGTGATGCTCTCGGTGCGTGAGCGGCGGGTCAGCCCCACCTGGCTGGGTGGAGGGTTGTTGAGGTGGTGCCTGCGCAGCGGGACACTGATGGGGTTGGAGCAGTTGGAGGAAGACTGGCTCTTGCTGCGAGGCCGGAATTCATCGCTCATCGCCCGCATGGCCTCCAGGATGGTCTCGTGCATGCTCTGGGCCACCACCGAGTCCTCCACCTGCATCCAGAACTCCCCGGGGCCCGTCACCGCGGAACGGCCCACTTCGATGAAGAAGAAGTTCTCCGAGTGACCACAGCGCCGGATGTTCATCAGCTGCAGCACCACTGCGGCCGCCTCTGTGTTCAGCTTCACGAAGCTGATGGTCTTGCTGGTCAGGCAGAGGCGGTAGATACCAATCAGGTTCTTTGTCTGACCCAGGCCCTTGGGTTTCAAGACCACCTGCCAGACCTCTTTGAAGGCGGGCCCGGGGTTGCTGTCCCCGAAGCTCAGGTCCTCCCCAGCCTCGCCAAGGCCAGAGCTGCCACTGCAGCTGCCCCCGCCGCCTCCTGTCCCGGGGGCCGAGGCCCCGTCGTGGTGGCTCTTGGCGCGGTTATGCAGCTGCAGGAGGGCCTGGTACCAGCTGTCCTGCTCGGCCTCGCTGTCCGCTGCGATCGCAAAGTGCTCGTCCCGGGTGTAGAGGGCCACCAGGTGCTTATTCTTGGAGTCAGCCCGCTTGTTGATGTTGAAACAGCTCTCGAGGGGGATCGAGCGTTTGGGGGCGCTCGACTTGTGCCGCCACTTCTTCTCGTTCTCGTAGTACTCCAGGCGCGCCGGGCCCCCCGCCTCGCTGGCCGCCCGCAGCACGAAGAAGCGCTTGTGCATGCTCTTGGGTTTGCGCAGGTAGCCCACCTTGCGCACGTCCGAGAAGCCCTCGGTCTCCGTAGGGCTCGCCATGCTGCCGCCACCACCTCCGCCGAGCAGAGGGAGGCGCCGAAAAACCACCCAGTGGGGGGCGGAGGCTCCTCGCCGAGGCCCCGCGCATGCAAACAGGGCTGGAGGCGGCCAAAACCCCGACTCCGAAATCCACGCCGCCCCCTCCGCGCTGGGAAGGGGCAGCCCAAGCAGGACGCTGCGGCTACGACGAGGAGAGAGCCCCGGCCAGAGTTTACGGGCGTTTCATGCAAACACCCGGGGGAGAGGCAGTGCGTCCGGCGTCTGTGCAGCCCGGATCCTCACAGAGCCAAGTCTCTGGGAAGGAGTGTAGATGCATCTCTCCCCGCCCGAGCCGGAGTCCGGAGCAGGCGGGCGACAGCGGCCAGGGGTCCCCAGGTTGCCCCTCCAGGCGCGCGCGCCTTCCCTCCCGAGTTCCCCTCTGGAAGTAGCGATTCCCGAGGCAAATTAAATATCCTTGGGCAGGGGGAGGCGAGCTGCCAAGTCTCAACGTTGAAAAAAAAAAGGCACATCCCTGCCCCTCGCTCCAGTCGGCAGGGGAGGAGAGGAGGGGACAAGGGCAGGCGGCGAGGGAGGAGGTTTGGGAAGGAGTCGGGGAAGACGCCTCTTCCCGGGAGGCGCTGCCTCTGCAGTTACTTCTCCCCTCCTCCCTCCTCCTCCTCGGAGAGTTGCCGAGAGCCCCAACCAAAACAAGCGGCGGCGTCTGGCTCCGCGCGCCGGCCCCCTCCGATCGCGCCGCCGTCTCA